CCAATTCCAGTTGGTTTTGTTATATTCACTTACTCACAAATACCCTTAGGAATGGTATTAATCCAACTGTTCTCTCCCCAGCTATGGATTAATTAATAAGACTTGTATCACTAAATCATTATTATCTAAAAAAAATTCTTACAATCTAAAAATATTTTCTGGTTTTAAATAACCTGTAAAGGGTTGATTACTAACAGAAAATAAAGGAATCAATCAAAATCCAGTCTTCCCATGTAGTCACCCATGTAGGTACTGATCAGGCTCAACATTGTTTTAACAATGATCATATGTAATCCAATGTTTCAATATGATGTTGTTGTAAGCCATGGGGCATAGAGAAAAAGAAGGATTATAGACAAGTTGTCATATACAATGATTAACACATTAATACTTTCATTATATTCATAGTGTGAAGATATATTTGAATATTAGATAAGTTACTCATGCCAAAATAGCAACAAGGCAAATGTAGAGAGCTACGATCACCTCTGTTTGGAAAAGAAATGGCACATAAATGTAGAAGACAATTGCCAAAATAGCTCTTATCCCAACTATAGATATAATAAACCCAAATAACTTGAGTCTCTAATTTTGTAGTATAAGAATACAAAGATCTAAAATTGGAATCCCAGGTCAGCAAACCTAAATAATTTCTTTCCTTATAATGTTAACCTTTGATCACCTGAAACTGCATTCATTAAGCTTTAGGGTTCAGTTTGATTCTAAGTGGTCAGATTTCAGTAACAGTGTTAATAACCAATTGACACTAACATACTTAACCTGGACATTTAATTAGCCAATTCTTTCATTATTCAAAGAAACTAACAAGTTAATATATATAAATATAGTGAGGAATATTAATATTAATTATACAGGATGCAATGGATGCGATGGATAAATTGTCATCTAAATTACATGAAAATTAAAATAATACTGACATCTCATTTTAAACGATATATCTATTGAAATTACACAAAAATATCTTGAAATACAAAAGAACAAATTGATTCAATAAAATCATCATTGGCTTAAACCACAGCCTCCAGACAAATTCAGAATCTCCTGCAACTCTTCTGGACTGTCTCCCTGTTTAAGTTGGTGAATACTTCCATAATCCTTACCTTCAGTTCATCTTTGGTTGTTACAAGGAGTTTTGTTAAAGGAGTTTTGCTCAACTGTACCCCACATATAATAATCAAAGGGGTTGCAGTCTTGGGAGTTAGGTGGCCAGTTGTAAGCAGTGATGTGCTCACAGAAATTATCTGACAGCCATGGCTGGGTTATTCTGTTTGTGTGGCATGGTGCAGAGTCCTGTTGCCAGACATAGGGTCTTCCAGCAGCCACCCACTTGACCAAGAGCAGCACTACCTCCCCAAGGCACGATGTAGATCTCCATATTGAGTCTGAGGTCCTTACCAACAAATTTGGGAATTCTTTTCTTATCAGAACAATCAGAGTGAGTTTTCTGAGCTGCTGTACCATCATAATCATGATTAGACTCACCCAACTCTTTCCAAATCAAATCCTCTGCACTGTCCTCAGGTTGAAACACTCTGAAACGTTAGTATTAGAGCTTGCAGCATGAATGCCAAGCAGTACAGCATGCTGTTTACAAATTTCTGGCTGAGTAAATTGCATGGTGCTCTTTTTCTCACAGATGGGCCCAACTGACCCTACTATACTGTGCAGTTGGCAAAATCAAAAACAAACAGTGTGCATGCATGAAACTAAAAATATATAATGATGACAATTTACCCATTGCACCCTCTATCTATCTATCTATCTATCTATCTATCTATCTATATATATATATATATATATATATATATATATATATATATATATTTTCCCTATATATATATATATATATATATATATATATATATATATGGGGAAATTGTGTGACAAAAGTGGAAAAAAAGTTTATTGTAATGCATTTCATCCTTCAGGACTCCATCAGACTAAATTTGTCATGTTGGTACAACTACATATACACCTGAACAAGGGTCTTTTTTCTTTTCTGTTTCTTTCAATTACTTTTGTTAGTAGCATTCCCACACTGTGATAATAGAAGTTCTGCCAGAAATGATGAAATGCTGTAATAGCCAGGGTTCAGATTTACTGACCTTGCAATCAAAGCACTCTCTAGACGTTTGCATTGTAGTGAATCATTTCCTCCTTTGAGTAGCATTTTTTATGCCAAAATTGTGGCCAGTCTTGTTACAGTGGGCAACCAATGAATTTGACCTACTATCTTGTATAATGTCCTATATATATATATATATATATATATATATATATATATATATATATATAATTGTGTATTTGAGCAGCAATCCATCTTTTCATTGAAGACAAGTGACTTGTAGATCTGAGCACTTCCATTTTCAGTAAAATCAATCTACATATTCAATTAAACAAAAAACATCCTTGATAATTGCTAATAGATTATCCATAATCTGTCAGATATACAGATCTTTTGAATAGTTTTTATGTACTTTATTTCCAGAAAAGAAATCATTTGTATGAATGCAAGAAAAATTAATAAAAGCTTAATTGTAGTGCCTTGTCAGTTCACTTAAGTGATAACTGTATAAAAGAGGGTTTGTTGCTCAAATAAACAATTATATATATGAAAAGAGTGAGAATAAAACAAAGAAAATGGAGGAAGATACCATCTACTTAAGCATCTTTATCCATATCTTCAGCAGATTATCTTCTTGCCTATATCACATGACAACTTTGTCTCAAGTAAGCACGCACATCTTCAGCTGGTCTCAACCACAATCCAAGTTAGTAATAGATCTATAACACATCAAATGTTAAAATCTCCAAATGAATGCTGAGGAATGTAAGGCAGCTTATTTGGATCTTGGGAACAATGTTTGCAAGTGTATTAGGAGGAATCTATGAATTTCTTTCAAACTCCTATGTTTATTTCATGTTAGCTTCCAAGAAAAGAGTTACTAGAATGTGAGTAAAACTGGTTATTTCTATAGCCTAATGATGAAAAAACATTTCTTTTACACAAAGGATTTTTATTTTTCAGCATAATTACCTCCCTTTTCAATGGCCTTCATTCATATAAGAGATCAAATATTGCAGATTATACAGTGTGTATTTCAGATCAAAATTTAGCTAATGATGCTAGGCCACAAAATTATTGATGCAGACTCATAGCTAGCTAGCTAGATAGATAGATAGGAAAATTAATGATAAAGTAGAAAAACTTTTTGTGCCATTTATGACTTCATTAGTTTACAGTGATGTTTTTGTTTGATGTAATTACATATGTGCATGAAAGTAAGGGGGGTCTGAACATTTAAATTTAAATTATTTTTTAATCATTTTCTCCCACAGATAAATAGATAGATACATATATAGAAAGATAGATAAATAACTGTTTACTTATTTGGGGTTTTACATATCACCTGAGTCCATCCTTCAAATTTACAAATCATCCTTGCATTGAATACTGTTGCCATATATATAGTCTGGTGCCCACACTGTTTATCTCAAGGTCCTCGACAAAATCCAGAGACAGATATGCAATATGATAGGTCCTGATCTAGCATCTCATCTACAGTCACTTTCTTACAGATGTGTTGTTGCTTCCCTCTGTCTTTTCTACAAATATTTTCATGGCAACTGCTCTGACAAGCTACTTTCACTGGTACCCCAACTGTATGAATTTAAGCGTTTTACTAGGTTGACATCTTGGTCCCACTCTTTCACTATCAAAGCAGTTAAATGTAACCACCTTTTCTACTTCAACAGCTTCTTCTCTCACACTTCCCAAGAGTGTAACTCCCTTCCTCCTACTTGCTTCTCTAGTAGCTATAACCTTTAAGCATTCAAATGTAATGTCAGTGTCAATCTTCTGATGTCTTGATCCTGATCCCCATCTTTCTCTATATCCTTTCCTCAGACAACCCTCTTTAAACTTGCCCTCACTCTCTGTAACCCTTTTCATGCTAGTAGCACTCCCACCTTGCTTGGGATGAAATGCTTAAAAAAAAAATGAACTAAATTCAGTGAAGCAGGGTAGGAATATTGTATTGCATGAGTTTCCCAGGTGAGAAAAGCCTGTTTACCTTAAAAATCAGCATTTGAAATATTAAATTTTTATTAAGATTTAAATATTGATTCATCACATACAAATGTAGAGCTATTTAACCAACCAACCACAAGCCTAACAAAGACATAGATAGATAGATAGATAGATAGATAGATAGATAGATAGATAGATAGATAGATAGATAGATAGAATATGAACTGGCATAGATAGATAGATAGATAGATAGATAGATAGATAGATAGATAGAATATGAACTGGCATAGATAGATAGATAGATAGATAGATAGATAGATAGATAGATAGATAGATAGAAACAAAAAGTCACACTAAAAATCACTGAAATAGAAAATGATAGACAGATAAATGTTTACTTGGAAAGATAATGTATGAAGTTATTTATGAAGTGTGGATACTTGTTCTCTCCAGATTCAATAAATTTTAAACAAAACTTCACTTCTGACATCCATGTTTTTTCATTTGCCTGTTTCATCTCTTGTCACCTAATTTAAAAAAAAAATAAAATAAAATTTAACAACATACACAAAAAGAAAATAAAACTATTTATTTTAAGTTTCAAAACCTTCCTATATTTATAGAAAATTAAACAGAAAATAACATTTAGAAATATTTAAAAATGAAGTTTTAGGAAAATATTAGAATTTTGCTTTCCACTGAAAATGTTCATAAAATCCCATTTCACACATATAGACTGGAGATGTTCCAATTATTCATCTTTTTTAATATTTTCATTCAAAGACAAGAAACAGAAACAGTTTTTCTAATTTTTTTAATAGTTTTGTCAGCTATAAATCATTTAAATTTACCTAAGAGTGTTTAAAATGTTTTCAGAAATGTTATTTTGATGATTAAAGAAACCAAACAAAGCTTTCTTTCTTTTTTTCTGATTTCATAGAAAATGCTTATTCAGGATTCTCTGATATGACACTTACAAAATCATTGCAGACATATAGAGGTTTATGTCTAACTTGTAATCCAAGAAGCTGACAGTAGTGGAAATGTGTACTTCAGGAATGGATTTCTCATATTCAAGATCTGCAAGGTGCATCATATTACTGTCTGTATGAGAAGCAGATGAAAACATTTTCAGATGAGTTCAATGATAATACATGAGTCAGAAGAAACAATCTTATGACTGCTACCTTAACTTAACAACCACTTACTATCCTCTTCCTTGACTCTTTCCATTCTTTTAGTGTCACAATATATATCTATCTATCCATCTATCTATCTATCTATCTATATATATATATATATATATATATATATATATATATATATACTATGTTTTCTAATGAAAGAGATGGATTTTTTTATTTATTAATCTGATAGATTTCATTACTTAAACATTAATTTTAGTGGATATTCACATTTGAGTATTAAGTAATAAAATCTGTCAGATTAATAAATAAAAATCCAACCCTTTAATCCATTAGTATTGCATTCAAAAAGTTAAAAAGGAATAAAAATAGTCTTTACTTTGGATATTTAATACACAGGAAAATCCGGAGTTTAGAAAAGACTATTAATAGTTGGTTCACTGTAAAAAGCTGCAGTTGAGAAAAAAGTTTTATTGTCAGTGAAGATTCACTGACTACCTCTGCTGTTGTTGTTGGAGATAATTCATTTTAAGTTGCCAACACATGTTTCTTTCAGAACACACTGGGGGGAAAGAAAAAGCTAAGTAGCCACATTTTTTTCTTGTGTTTGAATACCTGGGATACATGGTGATGTTAATTTCTAACCAATAGACATTTTCGTTTAAACAGTATGTTGTATTGTGGAATCTTTTTGGCATGTTTGTAATATTGTCTATTATTGGGTAGAAAATAATGTTTGGGTGTGTTTTAATATGATATGTATGCAGATATAAAATTGTGTTGGAAGTAGGGTTTGTTTCCTCTAGATACTTCTCAGCGCATATAAAATCTTAGCCTCTTCAAGTCTATGGTAAATAATTCTAGTTTTACCTCTTATGTTCATATCACACATCTCATTCAACAACTCTCTACTTTGAGTAGCTCTTGAGCCTGAGTGAACTTAAATAACACTTTATTTAGCCAGTTAAACATAGGAAATGTTAGGTGAATTAACAGATGAAGAGATTGATACAACTATTTAAATTACTGAAATCTTTTGGCAGCAACTTTTATTATTTTATGATTATCAAGTTTTATTCTATTCTAATTGTTTCTTTTCTTGTATTCCTGACATGCAGAAATCCCTTCCAGCTTTTTGTTTTCCTGTCAACAATAATCTACAAAAATTTAGATGCAGCTTCAATCATCATCATTTGTCATTTTGATTCTTGTTCTTTTTAAGGTCCTTTCTCATCAGTAACATTTTTTTCAGTTTCCTTCATTCTTTTGTTTTTAATCCTCAGTAACCCCTTGGATTTTACTGGTTTTATCACCTTCTTAAGTTGAGATGATAAAAAACTGTGAAAAAAAATCACCTGAAACTTAGACCAAAACCAAAAATAAATATATTAGTCAGATTAATCCATATGATAAGTACTGAATTATATTATAATGTAAAATCAATATAAAAACATAAAACATGAAAAGTTAGTCACAGAAAAACATGATAGAAGCAAGAATCAAAAGATAAAAAAGTACATCTTAAAAATTGTAGAAAAATAACAGAAATATAGTAACAGGCAAAAGACAGTTTTAATGCAAAGGGAACATTTAAAAAGATTCTAAAAAAGTTCCTGAGAAAAAGATGATAACAGAGACACAGACACACAAATTAAAGAACCCAGTAATGGCGACATTTGGGGGACACTAAATTGAAGGACAGAAGACAGTGACAATAACTAGGAAGGGAGGCAACTCTGCTGAACAAAAGAAAGAATGTTTGTAAGGAATGAAATTCACATTCGGAGAAATGGAGATAGATGGTTGGGTAGGGTATCCATCACGGAAAAGAAAGATTGGATAAATGAGACTAAATGCATAAAAAAATATGATTGCTGCTATTGATACAAAAATAGAAATTCTTTCGTCAGAAAGATGCATTGAACAATTGACAGATGCAAGGATGTTAATTCTGCTCAAACGGAAACCACAAGACAATGAATGCTAACTTAGTCCCTAAATAAAAAACTGGTGGGTTTCCCAAAGAATTTGGGTAAGGTTTGGGATTGATGGCAATGAAAAGTAGAAGAGAAGTACTGAATAGTAGGAGGAGCAATCATGGAAAGTGAAGAAAGGTGTTGTCAAATCAATCAACAGAGAATCAGAGAAAGCAAAATAGAAAGGAAGGAGTATCTTGGTATTAGAAACTTTATCAAAATGTCTTTCATTAGAATTCATTTTCAAATTTCCTTTAGGTATTTTTTTTAGATGTTTTTGTTTGTTTGTATTCTCTAACATTTCTTGAGAAATTTATGTTTAAGATGTTTTTAAAATTAATTTTAAGTTTATTTTGTTACTTTTTTCAAATTGAATTTTGTGCATGTATACAACTCATCAATTTGAATTATTTGGGTCGTGCTGCATTTGGGAATATTTTTTTAAAACTATTTCACCACAAGCAAGAAGTTAATGCCCCTAAGATGCAAGGTGTTACTGGGAGTGGAAGAGAATGGGAAGACTTTAGGGAGGAGACTAGAGAATAAAACAAAAGGATTCAAGAAAACAGAAGATGGCAATTAATGTTGCATTTAAATTTTGGAAGACTGTGGGTGGCAGGGAAGGAAGTAACTGAAAGATAGTTCCACAAGTGATAATTGCAAGAAAGGAAACTATTAGTATAAAACTTACGGTTACATCTAGCTATTTCAACACTAAAACAATAAGATTTAGTAGCCATTCTAGCAGTATGCTTACATTCACACAGTCAAGGTTACAAGAACTCACTGCAAGGTTACAAGAACAACTGCCATGAAAATATTTATAGAAAAGACAGAGGGAAGCCACAACATGGCAGTGGGAAAGTGACTGAAGTCAAGGTGCTAGGTCAGGGTTGATTACACTCTTTGGATTTTGTCAAGATATGTAGCAGGAGCACCTGACAAGATATGACACATGTTCAATACACGGACAAATGGTAGATTAATAAATGTACTAGATGGATATACACAAATAGGTGAGAAGATAGGTATGCTGATTTACACACCTAGAAATAAATGAAAATATATTCAGTTATATTTGATTTAGGACATTTTTATCTGCACTAAATTAATCTAAAGTTTGTGATTAGAAAAACCGTTTTGTATTCTAATTTACATCTAAAAATCATATGAACATAATTATCATTATCAATAGTTTGATCTCTTGATTTTTTTCTCCTTCTTTTCTATCATTATTTGTATCTCTCTTATTGTATTTCTTTCACAACTTCTCACTCTCTAACTTGATATTTTTCTCTCTATTTCTTCCTCCTTCCATTTCTCTCTCATTTCTGTCTGCCTTTCTCTTTCTCACTCTCAGAATATATCCATATACAAATATTAGGTGTGTGCAAAATTTTTCAGAAATTTTATTTAAAATATAGTCATAAAACTTTTTTTAAGAAAAAAAATAAATTTTTGAAAGACATAACTATGAGTACATAATATATGAAACAAAGGACTCTAGATTCTTCTACTTTTATGTGTTGTGTCTCTTCTAATACTGGTTCAGTGAACCTTGTTTTAAAAATCAAACAAAACCCCTCCCCTTTTTACACCTTTATGAAATCTTTCATTTAAACTAACAAGGAAGACAGTATTTTCGACAGAGGTCTCTCACTTGTGCACATAGCATTTTTGTTATCAATGCAGAAATTAGGATCTGTATACTAATTTCAAATTCCAGAAGTCATTGCATTCACTTTCTCACAAAATTTCCTCACTCTCTATCTCTCTTCCCTCTGTATCACTCCCTCTCTCCACCACCCCCTCTTTCTCTAACTCTTATTCTCTTATATGTAATGAAAAATATTTATTTTGATTTTAATTTATATTTAATTCTGTGAGGAAAATTTAAGATGGTTTTATAAATGAATTATAAATGAGTTTATTAGATATTTTCAAAATATTTGAATGAAATTTTAAAGATATCTCACTTGTTTCATCATCATCAGTCCCTCGATTACTCCAATTGTCAGATAGGGCATCTGTGGGCAAAATAAACAGACAACCTCCTCCAATCTAATCTGTCGATGGTGGTTCTCAGGAGTTTCAACATTGTTATGTCCATTCACTTTCTGTCTAAAAGCATAGAGCGTGCAAACATTCCACATTCCAGTGGTTGTAAGCTTGATGGTATTTGTTACTCAAGTCACCCACTTGGCACAACCATCCTGGGGTGAGTCAGTTATTTGGATAGGGGAAATTGGTATTAGAAATTTGGCATTTTTCTGCACTTGCTAGAGTGACAAAAGGACAATTATCTTCCTTTGGCTTTCTAGATGAATTTAAGTGATCTCACAGTTTACTTGTTAAACACAGGAAATATTGTGTTCTATAAGATTTCAGTAGTAAGGCCCTAATGAGATCCGGCTTTCTCATTGCTCATAAAGGAAGAAATTGTATCATTTCAGGATCTTTGTAAAAACCTTTGGAAAGAACCAAAGTTTTTCCAAAGATTCAGCAAATACTTTCTCATGAAGAATAATATTATTAACAGGAATTATTTTGATTCTTGCAAATACATAACAAAAAAAACAGATTGATAAATGTAAAGTGAAACTAATTATTTTTGAAAATAATATTTACAGGAATGAAAAGAAGTGGATACAGGGAAAGCTGTGAAGATGTAACTAGATAAAAATGGACACACGTATGAAGTGACAAATAACAAAGGGGTGGGGGAGAGCAGCAGATAGCTACCATGAAAGGGTTCAATTGAGTGCGTAATATAATTAGATTAGAGGTCTGAATGATGAGTTAGGATCTTATTAAACATGTTTTTGAGACATTCATAGAGAGGCCTTCAAATGTTTCTCCTTTTTATGAGTCAGTCAAAAGAAGCTTTGTTGCTACAAGTACTTTTAGGTGTGAGAGAATGCTATAGCTCAGCTTGTTCAGATGCTTTCCTGCTTACAAACATCATTATTATGAACTTTTCAAAATATTAACAAACCTGTCTGTGAATTTGAATTTTGAAAAGCATGCCAATATAGAAGCTCACTCTCCATGGAATCAATGGCATTACTTAACTTCTCATCATCATACAATACAGTTATTGTTATTGTCATATCATGTATACATCATTATATTGTGATTTTTACAAATCAATATGCAGCACACACCTAAGTTCAGAGTTGATCATTATAAAAAATGGTCACCATTTTCTTTTAATGAAATTCTTTGCTTAAAGAATTGTCATTTTTTAAAAAGCCTTATTAGATTTAAACAAATGTAAGATAATAAGATGTAATTTCTATAATTAGAAACTAGTCTTTAATCCCAGTAAATTAAGTTGTTCAAACTGAGTGTCAAAATTGCAAAAAGGGATTGTAATGCTTAAGAAAATGTTATAAGCAAATAAATCAACAAGATTTATTGGTGGGAGAAGACACCAATGAAGAAATATACAAACATTTAAAGCAGAAATGTTTTTGATATTGATAGATAGATAGATTTTTACAGTTCAAGATAAATAGATAGATAGATTTTTACAGTTCAAGATAAATAGATAGATAGATTTAAACATTTTGAGATAGATAGATTTAAACAGTTCAAGGTAGAAAGATTTAAACAGTTTGAGATAGAGAGATAGAGAGATTTAAACAGTTAGAGATAGCTAGATTTTAACAGTTTGATATAGATAGATAAATATATATATATATATATATATATATATATATATATATAGAGAGAGAGAGAGAGATAGAGAGAGAGAGAGAGAGAAATAGACTTCCTGAAATCCAGATGTGAACTGTGCAACTGATATTCTATTCCTTTTTAGTTTTACAATGTTTCTGCTGGAACATTCTTTCTTTTCTTCATATATACATTTCATCTCAGAGAGGAGTTCTGACAATTAATACTTCAAGATCTGTGCATCAGCAATTCTCTCTCTCTCTCTCTCTCTCTATATATATATATATATATATATATATATATATATATATATATATATATATATATATATATATATATATATATATATGTATATATAATCCTTTCATACTTATGAATAGATAGATCAATGTCACTGATGTCTGTACATAGGTATATGAATTATTGATTCACCTACAGATACATGCATCTTCTCATAATTATATTTACATAGGCATGCATTGTTACTGATATAAATGGATGAAGAAATAATTAATAAGATGAAAGTCTTTCAGGTAAGCAGATGAGAAAGTTACTGGTCTGAAGCAGATTGGTAAGTGAGATACTTGATGACAAAAAGAGAAATAGTCACAAAGATGTATAGTGATAGATAACCACTATAATATTACATGGTGAATGATCTTATTAATAAATGTACATGTCATATGGTAATCTCCCTTGGCAGAACAAGTTATAGGAAGATTAGGACTTAGATAGATAGACATAAAGAAAAAAAGAGATATAAAAACTTTAGGGAAGAATTAATATTGATTCAGATCAAAAGATGAGAGAGATCAATAGATAAAAAAATATGTCAGTCCAAAAAATATACAGCAACTTTGAATATTCCAACAACTGTTTATGTAACTTTGATGTAACTTAAAAATCAACAAGAGAGGACCTTACTGCACATGTAAAAGAAAACACCCATTCACAAGGTCAGTCTGTCTTACAGAAAGTATCAACTAGATAAAAATTGCAAAGTGATAATTGTCCAAATCCAACATATTCACATTCCTGTTGTAGGAACTGCCCACTGATTGACCATATCTTCAGAGGTGTAGACATATTCACCCCACTTGTCCAATTGCATAGAAAAAAGTTTGAAATCATAGTTGTCCTTCTCCTATACTGGCTGCCACCCAAGGTTATAAGACCCAGTCTACCCTGCTATTTACCCATAGCTAAGGATAGAAGAGGTGGATTCATATATTTCTCAAGGATATTTGCATGAAAGTAAATATAACAAACTCAACTGAAATTCAAATCTGGAGGCACAGTGGAGTAATGAATAGAGACTTGGACTGAGGAATTGGTGATATCTGGAGTAGAAGTAATTCCAGACCCTACCATACTGGTCTGAACTTTGACAATTCAAATAGATTGGAGGTAGTTTTAACCCCATGGACATGGGATCCTGACATTGATGGATTGTCTTTGTCTCTATCTTGATCTTCTTCTATGTCCCTTCAGGGCATTTTCAATCATGTTTCTCCACAATTTCCTGCTTTTTGCAGCTCTTAATAAATTTTTCTTATTATTATCTATCCTAAACCCTGTATTGCTATCCATTTACTCAAGCTCACTAGGTAGGTTATGCATTGTTTTCCTCTGTTCCTTTCACCTTCAATCTGTCTTGTCAGTATCAAAGCCTTCTCAACTCATTATGTGCCCTAGAAATTTCAATTATCTTTTTCTGATGTTAAGTATAAGTGTCCATTTTGTTTCCGTTTTCTTTAAAGCTTTGTCATTGCTCACAGTTTCGGTTCATGGTATTCTCAGCATCCTTCTGTAGAACCACATTTCTGTTGTTTCCAGTCTCTTTTTCATCTTTGAGGAGATTGTCCAGCATTCACCAAAACCAACAGTTTGATTGCAGCAGTAGAAAAGTCAGTAGCTCTGAACTTGTCCAAACTTTGCTGACCTGTTGACATCTTTTCTCCTTCTTCCTCTTGCTTACATCAAGAAATGATATCTACTCTGTTACCCAGACTCAAATGTTAAAAAGTAATCTGAAGCAAATTATTTGTCTTTGATTGAGTCTGTTGGTGCAGTATTGAGCTTCATACTGAGGAACTGCTGATAGATCACTAGAATACATGGATAACACACAATGCAATATCAGAATTGAGATGCCATTTTCCAGTGATGTTCTATGCTTGTTTTTGTTTGTTTTGCTTTTTTGCAAACTGTTCATCACTTCAGTTTAGATTTGGCTTTCTATAACTTCAGTCTTTTCTAAAAGCTAAAATCCCAATTTAAATTAATGTAGTTTTCAAATAGTGGACAATATCAGTGAATAAGAAGAATACAATGATGCAGCTGATGGTGCTCCTGAAAGAAGATTTTTTTACTGTTTTGAAGAATGGAAGACATACTGGAATAATGGGTAAAATATAAAGGAGAGTTAACTGAACTAAATTACCATTACCCTAGGGACACTATTTTCTTCTATTAATATTAAATGGTTAGATATTTTCTGTCCTTTATAAGATGCATTTTTAATTAACTGGTTTTCTATTGAAAACTCTTGAATCATGTTTGGTCAGTATGGTCATTGACTTCATATTCATTGAACACTGATCATATTAGTTATTTTTCTTCAAACTTCCTACAATTATAGGGTTACTATTTTCAAAGATATCAATTAATTTCTTTTTTATTAATATTCATCCTATACAAGGCTCAAAGGCCACTCAAGGTAGAGAGTTACTGAAGGTAGTTGTGGTGTAAGCAGTAAGAGTAAGGGGTGCAGTTTAGTAGGATATACAGGAAAATAACACTTAACCCTAGACTTGAAGAGATTAAGTGTGTAGTAAGGAATATATCTCATCTGAACATATTTCCATGGAAATATCAATAGAGTAGGGAGAGTCTTGCAACATTTTGTCTGTGAGGAAACAGATTTTATTATGTGAAAATTCATACACATAGATTTTCTTAAAGGTTAAATCTCTTTTATGGTTGATAGAACAACTCATCGTTTGAAAACAAAATCTGAATCTTAGTCATATGACAGAATTTTGGAAATGGGTTCTCTCAAAACCTTTTCAGTACCCCTCATGTACATATATATATATATATATATATATATATATATATATATATACACAGATAGAGTGAGAGAAACAGTGAAAGAGAAAGAAACAAAGACATAGATTCTAAACTATGAAAGGGAAGCATTCCCATAAAATGCCTGTTAGATACATAGCAGATATAAAAGAATACACAAATACATTAATATATATATATATATACAACTGACAATCGCAAAAGCATGAAACCCAGGGTCACAAACTCACATCAATCCAACCAAATATGTTAGCTCTATCTCTGATATTGAGTGCTTTCTAATAAGTACCGTGTATATGATATATAAATAATTATATATATATATATTTATTTATATTTATATACACCCACTTTTCACATATATATATGTATATATATATATATATATATTATAAACATATTGACATATACAGATACATAGATAAGAGACATAGGTAGAAACAAATAGACTAAATCTGAGATAAATAGGTATTTAAGAGACAGAAGTATAAGTAAATAGATTAAAGAGATAGTTAGATGAATAGATATACATAGATAAATAGATGACAGAAGTCGAGGCAAATGGACTAAAACTGAGATAGATAGATAGATAGATAGATAGATAGATAGATAGATAGATACATAGATAAGACGAAAGTAAAAGCAAATGGATTATAGATAGATAGATAGATAGATAGATAGATAGATAGATAGATAGATAAGACGAAAGTAAAAGCAAATGGATTATAGATAGATAGATAGATAGATAGATAGATAGATAGATAGATAGATAGATAGATAAGACGAAAGTAAAAGCAAATGGATTATAGATAGATAGATAGATAGATAGATAGATAGATAGATAGATAGATAGATAGATAGATAGATAAGACGAAAGTAAAAGCAAATGGATTATCGATAGATAGATAGATAGATAGATAGATAGATAGATAGATAGATAGATAGATAGATAGATAGATATTGTAAAACCAATTTCAAATACACTGCTGTGCAAATACACATGTAAAGAAAAAAAAATTATACATATACAAAACCTGGATAATATTAACCAGCAAAACATTCTATTGCCATCAGCAATGAATGAATTAAAAAAGATAAAAATCCAAGTGTAAGTGCAAAAGAGAGAAACAATATCAAAGTGCACATATACAAATAGAAGGAAATTACTTTTGTGTTTTACATCTGTTTATAAGAAGAATGCTTATTCTCTCAGGCCAAAACAGCACAGCTTCAGTGACAAACACAGATGGCACAATGCACACTGTCAAGTGACATGATCTTTGATAGCTTTGGTTTTTTGATAGTTTCATTATTATTTACTAAATGGACTTTCTTATTACCAAAAATGTAGTAGGCATACAGCTACACAACCTTAAAGGATTAATATAGTATCTTTTAATACTACTGGTAATTTTAAAGCATAGAGATGAAAATTACTAATTAGTACTTCATTTATATGCAATTGTATTTGATATTTTTATTCCTATTTTTATTTGTACCATTCTGAGAATATTTTATATTATTCTAGCTGTAATGGATAGTGGCTTCAATTGAGGAATCGGAGAGCTGAGTTCAAATTCCAGTCGAATTCATTACATTCACTTATGTGCTAATACCCTTGGGAAAGGTATGAATCCTCTTCTTCTCTCTCCCAGCTATGGGTAAATAGCAGGGCAGACTGGTTTCTACAGCTTTCTACTGGTCTACTGCAGAAAGAAATGGCAACCTACTGCAGGAAAAATCTGCCTCGTCAGTCATGTATCAAAAGATACACAATCACCTAAGCGTGTACCACACATAGCACATAACTGACCAAATGTTTGATTTCATGACTAGGCACTGAAAATTTCTCACTAGCAAGTCATTTTTTTATGATAAAATCACTTACAATGCATTTTTATAGTAAAATCATTAGCAACATATTTATATGAAACATATAATAGATCTATTTTATCAATAATGCTTGCTTTAATTACTTGGTACTGAAAATTTCTGATTTTTAATGTATTTTTTATAGCAAAATCATTTGTAATTCATTTCTATAGTAGAACATTACCAATAAAATTTAAATGAAATATTATTCTGTAAACATAATTTACCTTAATTGATGATTTATAACAATGCCATTTTCAACCATTTGGTATACATATATAGAACTATTTGTAATGAATTCTATTGTAAAATCATTGAAAATCCAATATACATATGATAGCTTTACATTGTCAGCAATGCTGATTTTAATCACTGACCACTGACTATCCATTTTTCATTATTTTCAATGTGCGAAATCTAGTTGTGTGCCAAAACTTGCAAAAACATATTTTAGATGAAAACTGAAAAATTTATTTTTATGATCAAATTCTTAACATAATTAGTCTAAACAAACTATATACAAGGATTTTTTTTGTGTTTTATTTGTTTAAAAAGTCTTACCTTTGATATCAGTGATTATACAGGCTGACAAATCTTTTTGAAATGGTGCATGGAATGTTTTGGCTAATTTTAAAAAAGATAAGATCCATTTTCCACCATTAGCATTAGTTTTCTTTCTCCAGAATACCTTATCCTACCTTATCCTATCTACAATAATGAATAAAATGTGAAATAAAACACAACTTCTGAAATACAAAAGAAATATATAACATAATAAATGTTTAAATTCAAATATTGAGAGCTACTGACAGTCAAGGCAAAAATTTTTGTATATTTCATTTTTGTGAATGCTTAATGGATTTATTCTGCTTTAAGTAAGAACAGTCATCATTATTTTCTTCCATCTTCAGTCATCATTCTTTTCTTCCATCTTCCATAACTTTATTGTCCTGGCAGCAGTGTAGCATGGGTGGGCCAGAGGGATGATTACACCAGGCATAAAATTTTAGAGATGCAAGAAAATTAATTAGGTTGAAAAAATATGTATTCAGCTAGAATTTATAACAGCTGGCGGCTAAAGAGGAGGTGCAATAGTTTGAATTACTCCAGGCACTCAAAACCCATCTGACACTACTGTGTCCTGCTGGAATCTTCCACCTTGCTCATCACTAAAGTCAGCCATAATAAATTATATCACTGACAAACTCAAATTTCTATCACAAATGTTTAATGCAGATTGTGTAAAGGGATTATATCCAAGGATATCATATTGTTTCCATTCATAGCCTTAAACAATACAGTCACGGTCATTATTATCATGCACTATCCTAATATAAAAACCAATCAAGAATTTAATAACATACATGTTTTCTTTTACAGGAAGCATTCAAAATTAATTTGAACATTATGGGAAATATGACTATAAAGAGAAATGTGAAGCTATTCAATTGAAATTAGATTGATTATTTAAATCTGTATCCCAAAATTTGTTAAGGAAAAGTATAAGTTGGCTTACACCAAAAATATGTGTAGATCATTCCTATTAATAAGAGAAATAAAGAGCTCTGAAATATATATATATATATATATATATATACAAATGCAGATAACCAATATATTACCATACAAAATATATATATATGTGTGTGTGCGTGTGTGTGTGTGTGTATAATATTTAAGAAATAGCAGATATTTTATATATAGTACTCAGTATTAAAATATTAAAATAATATTAAAAATAGACTATTAATAATATTATATGAAAAGATTACTTAACTTTCAAATATCAAGTTTCTTGGTAAAATTTCCAGTTTTTAAGGATAAATGAGAACTGGAAATTTTAGCAAGAAATTTAGAAATCTGGATAAAATTGATATTTAAAAGTTAGCTAATCTTTTTCATATAATATTGTATAATATTACATATATGTGTATATATGTATATAAAATTGTGTATTTGTGCAGTAATCCTCTTTTTATACAAGTTTCATTAAGAAGAACAATTGACATAGTACATCCATGTAAACTTATATATATATATATATATATATATATATATATATATATATATATATATATATATATATATATATATATATATACATGCGTATATGTATATATATGTGTGTGTGTGTGTGTTTTTACATCAGCATAGACATCATGTTAGTCCGATGAAGTCTTAAAGCACAAAATGCATGATACAAAAATTTATCCAATTCATCCTTGATTTCCCTAATATTGTTCAGCTATATAAAAATTTATATATCATTTTCTAATCTTACTTATTATAAAATGCAGATTGTGTGTGTGTGTCTGTAACGTTTATATATTGGATCGGATTTCCTACATTTTTCAACCGATTTCAACAAAACTTCACAGGACTACATAAAATTACCTTGTGGTGGTTCTAACAGCACCCAAAAATGGGAAAAATATAATTGTTTTTGCACAAAATCAATTTGAAAACATGATTAAGAGACATTGTGAAAATGGAAGGGGGACAACTCACATCGGTTTGTTTGTGTGTGTGTGGGTTCCTTTAAATATGGGAGCGGATTTCCTATATTTTTCAGCCGATAAAACAAAACTTCACTTTTTTTTTTTTTTGGCAGGTAGTGTTCCTTATTCTCTTGCACACTTTTTTCTTTATTTTTAACATTCAGAATGCTTTAAAAATTCCATTTACAAGACATTTATTTATAATAAAATTCAATCGGGAGACTCATAATGATTGAAAACAATGTTTTTGTTTGAGTTTGGGTTTGACCAATTCGTAAAAAATAAAAAAACTAATTAAGACATGCGTGTCCGTCAACCTTAAACAATATTCTTTGACAATTTTATTTTTCAGTCTTTATGATGGTGGATACTTGATCTATCTCTTACTGTTTTATCCCCGGGCAATGCCGGGCTCTACTGCTAGTATATTATAATATATAAATTATAAGAACATACAACTTATTTATGAATACATATATATATATAAGATAAAAATATAGTTTTAAGGTATGCTATCTTTATCCATCAAAGGGGTCAATATCAGGGTTAGAGCATATATAAATATAAATCGCTATTAAGGTCAACTAACTGGCAGCGACAGTCTGTTTCATGCTTAAATGCAATTGTCTGCCCCTGACAATTGTGTTTACGTATAAAAGATTTTTGTTGATGGTGTTGACCATATGTCCATTTATATATACATATATATATATATATATATATATATATATATATATATATATATATATATATATATATATATATATATATATATATATATATATATATATATATATATATATATATATATTACATGAATCATTCATAAAAAAAAAGATATATATGTGCAGTACTTGTTAGAAAGTACTCAATATCAGTGATAGAGCTAACATACTTAGTTGTATGGATCTGAGGATCGCAAAAGCGTGAAACCTAGGGTTACAAAACCACATCTATCTATCTATCTATCTATCTATCTATCTATTCTATATATATATATATATATATATATATATATATATATATTGATGTTTATCCTAATGATAGATTTTTAAAGTTTAAATATTTAAAGATTTGTTTTTTTACATTTTATATAATTTTCTAATTCAGCAATTCCTGATTGAATTCATGGAGACCATTCATAATAGATTCAGACAAACTCCAAGACTCTTATTTCCTTCCAATTTTGACAATTTAGTTTTCTTTAAAATATCCACTATTTTTTTTTCTCTTTTTCCTTTTTTAATTTGCTTGTATTCTGAAACTTCAGCTCCCTAAAGGCTGACACGGTGTTTGCTTTGTTTGACATCCAGACATGAAAGCAAAGTTAACCAAGGGAATTCAAAGTAACCTAATATTTCCCAAATGATTTATTCCTGAAATTATATCAGACTTTAATTCCGGCAAATACAAATCTGTATTAACCCCTATAGAATTACTTATCTGTTTGTGTGTATATATATATATATATATATATATATATATATATATATATGATCATAACCTTCTTTATACATATCACTGACCCTAGTCAAGATAAGCAATAAGCCTAACAGCTTCTATAGTTATTCTTGCCTGATCAGTAAGATAATTATGAGAGTTTTCTTAAGTGTTTGCTCATGCTTTTTCTTTTCCATCAACAATCATGGCATGCAAGTCACAAGTAGTTTTTTTTATTCATGTGGCAATT